CGCCCTGGGTAATTTTTCAATTACGAAACAAAGCTTGCTACTGGTGGAGTTTGGGTCACTGGTAGGTGACTTGAACGATTAATGATGGGAGAGCTAGCCACAGAAGCAGCAAACGGAAAGGAAGAATATGCGACTTATATCGATGATTTTGATTCGTCGTCGTGTGAATTAACTACAAACCAAGGCATGTACTGATGCTAGGAGTGGCCAGACACTACACGCAACAAAGTCTGCGATGTTGCGTCTTATTTCTTTTTTGCCAAAATCAACATGCTTACTTCTGATATCTATAATTATTTTGAAATGCTCAAACAAACTAATTTTCAAGTATCTCACAGACCTCGATATCAAAGACCAAAAATTACTTCGGCTGAGAGGAGGCAAATTTATCAATATTGTCAACTTTAATAATACACATGAAAAAATTACTCGATTCTGATTGACTAAGAGTAGTGTAGTTCAAGTGTAACACCAGTGCAAAAAGTGTAACATCAGTGCTAAAAGTGTAACACCAGTGCAAATTACACATCGAAATTCTGGATTATGATTGACTGAAAGACAATAGGAACTTTTCTGAGAAAATGATATCACGTAAAGTGATGATGAAGATTTTGTGCTGAAACTTTGAAAAAAGATTTCTCAAATGAGAAAAAATGGCTTCAAGAGAGTATTTCCGGCACTTCCTCCGCGCGCCTTTTTTCATGTTTATATTATTAATAAGTAATCATACGGTTTTTCTCGTTCAATTTGGAGTTAATTTGCACTTGTGAGTTTTTCAAAAAGCTGTGATTACACTCGCCGAAGCGGCTCGTGCAATTTCAGCTTTTTGAAAAACTCACAAATGCAAATGAATTCCAAATTGAACGAGAAAAACCGTATGATTACCTATACTTATTACATGGCTGAGGAAATTACGTCACTGTGATTGGTTGAGAGCAGGCAAATTTTTCGCCTATTTTTAATTTGCACCGCAGTGCAAATCAACGCGCTCGCGTTCGTCATTTTCTCAATCGTATAATCAGTAAGTAATCGTATGAAAGCGCGTGCAATAAAGGATTTATACTACTCGTGATATTTGAAAATTCTTTCAAATTGTACTCGCCTAAAGGCTCGCACAATTTTGGGAGAATTTTCAAATATCACTCGTAGTGTAAAGCCTAAATAGCGAAGCGCGCGAGTGATGTTATAATTCAGACAAACAAAAGGGAATGGTGGAAGATTGAAAGCTTTTCAAGCGCGTACGCAAGTGTTCCTAAAAATAATTTAAAACGAAAATGTGGCGTTCATTCCATTTATTTCTTTCAGAAAACGCTAAAGTGTGACTCTCGCAGGGTTCCAATAATTTGCATTCTATTTTTAGACTTCGCGCGCTTCGTTATAGCACTCGCATTCATACGATTACCTATACTTATTTGCACTGAACTGTGAATTAACTTTCAAATGTCACTCGTAGGGTAAATCCTTAATTGCATTTACATTCATCTGATTGATAACCAATAGTTATACTAATCAGTTAAAAAAAGAATCTGCGTTCGTGCTCAGTTGGTCTTCTCTTTTTTTGAGGAGCCAAACAAACAATTCATTATAACTTTCAACAAGAATGTGATAGCTAAAAAGGTAACAGCTAAGACTAAAAAAGCCAAGAACAAAATATCAAGCAGATAGAGCTGATAGAACGGTAGATCAAGGCCNTGTTTTTCTGTCTTTCTCTTATTTTGTCTTTGCTTGTACTTTTTTTTACTTTGCATTTTGTGAAACACAAGGAAAAACATCGAAAATGTGAGCGAATTTGGAAGTTATTGAGTTATTTTTATTTTCTGCGCTCAGGCTGACGTAAGTAACCGGAAGTGAAATTTCACCTCCTTAGCAACGAGCGCGAGCGCGCGCATAAATCGGTTAATGGGCCCTTAAAGCTGGAAACTTGGCCATGTCTACTCAGGAGGGAGGGGGCGTCTCCAGGAAAAACTCCCAGGGGGAGAATCCCATATAAAAAGGACAGGGATGCTCGTCGTACCTTTTAGGGGTTCATGTAAAAACGCTGTTTTGGTGCCTCCTAGGGTGTTCAGCCTCAAAAGGTCCACAACAGGTCCTTTTGCGGTAAAGCCCTGGCCAAACGGACTCCCAAGTAGATTCAAGTTGAAAACTTGGGTCCACTTGCGACTCCGTTTAGCCAGGCTTTTCGTGCACTTGCGTTGAATCGCGATGACTTGCGCTTTCTTTGGTCGAGATCAAATTTGCACGCAGGTCGGCGCAAGTTTTTCACCGTTTCGCCACTCAACCCAAGTCAACGCAAGTTGAGAGACGTCCATTAACCTAGTCAGACGTCCATACCCTAATCAGAAATACAGGGTATTTCTGACTTGAAATGGCGACTTGCGGGTACTTGCGAGGAAACTTGCGAGTCCGTTTAGCCACCCTGAACGCAACTCTCCACGCAAGTTCAACTTCCGGCTGCTTGCGACTACTTGCGAGTCTGTTTGGCCAGGGCTTAACGTTAAGGGTACTGAACCGAAAAAAAAAAATGACAGGAGATAATTTGTTGTTTAGAACTAGTACTTCTTAGGGGTGAAAAACGTTTTAAGCCACGCCAACAAAACAATCTACAGTTACCTCTTCGGGGTTCTTTTCAAAATTTCCGACGAGAACACCCGGAGAAATATTAAGGTACTCATTACTTACAAATTTATCTTCATTTGACATCCTTCCTTGAACAATGGTTCATCTGAAAATGAAAGAAGTAACAAGGCTCGATTAATTAATTAATGGTATCTGAGAAGTAAAACTACAACAGAAATGTAGATAAAGAAAGAGAAGTGAAATGGGCTCATCTTAGGAAGGAAAATTGTTATTCTGAGAATTTTACGTAGCATCAGGAGCTGTAATCGGGGACGGAGACTGTAAGCGCGCGCCTTTGCTAGTATTGGGGTTGTCCCCATGATA